GTCGTCGGCCGTCCTGAGGCCATCTTCGGCGTGTCCGGGGCCTCTTGAGGCTGTCTTGGCAAGCTTTAGGGCCCTCTTGGCGTGTCGTGGCGCGTTTGGGAGCGGACCTGGGCAGTCCCGGGAGCGCTGGGGGCTGTTGAATGCTAGGTGTTGTCTTGGAGGCGGAGGCTGTTGAGTGCAGGGTGGCGCGTGCTACGCGGAAGGCGGGCGAGCGGCCAGGCGGGCGGCGGGCGGGCGGGTGGCGGGCGGGCGGGCGGGTCGGGATTTGAATGACTTCCTTAAGGTGGCTCTCTTGCAGCGGGAGCTTGTTGAGCACAGGCTGTTGCCTTGAAGACGGGGGCTGTTGACTACAGGGTGTTGTCTTGGAGACTGAAGCTGTTGAGTACAGAGTGGTGCGTGCTCGCGGACGGCGAACGGGCGGCGGGTGCCCTAGGTGGTGGGTCAGAGGCCTCATGGGTGTTGGTTTGGATCTCGTGGTTGGCCTGTCGGGAACGTCGTGAACGCAGTTTCGCATCTTCTCGGTGACCGTTTTGGGGCCGTAGTGGGGCATCCTCGGGGCTGTTTTGTAGCTTTTTGAAGCCTCGTTTGGGCCTCCTGGGTGCCTCTCGGGGGCCTCTTGGGGCCTCTTGGGGGCTCCTTGGGGCCTCCTGGGGCACTCTTCAAGCGGGAGGGTCGAATTTTGGATTCGTGGTCCCCTCTTGGGCGCATCTTGGGACCATCTTGGGGCTCTCTTGGGCTGTCTTGGGCCCCTCTGGGGTCGTCTGGGGGCCCTCTTGGGCCGTCTTTGGGCGCTCTTGGGGGCCTATTGGGCCGTCTTGGAACGTCGGACAGCCGAAAAGGCTAAATCTCTCCAAAACCTTTGAAAAATTACCGATGTCGGCCACTTGAAGCGCTCTGGAAAAGCCGGAGCACTGGACCCAGGACCCCCGGAGGAGCCTCCGAAAGTCGAAGGGCGACAAGAACATCGGCGGGAGGCGAGCCGAGAAGTCGAAGGGGCGAGCGCGGTCCCAAGGGGCGACCGGGGCGGGGACGGCGTCGACGACGACGACGCCGACGACGGCGACACCGCCGACGACGGAGAATTCTCTCTGGGATCCGAGGGCCTCTGCGCTGGCCCGGGGCGGGATGTGCCACCGCAGGAGGGCCACGGCGCGCATGGCGTCCAGGAGGCCGTTTTCTTGGGCCGGCGGCGGCGGCGGTCCGAAAATCGGCTCGTCCGCACCCTCCGTTGTAAGGTTCCTCGGGGCTGTTTGGGAGCCTCGTGAAGCCTCGTTGGGGCCTCCTGGGTGCCTCTGGGGGGTCTCCTGGGGCCTCTTGTGGCCCCTTTGGGGCCTCCCGGGGCCCTGTGGAGGCGGGACAACGAATCTCCGGTTCGCGGTTCCCCCCTTGGAGCCCTCTTGGGGCCGTCTTGGGCCTCTCTTCGCCCGTCTTGGGCGCGTCTTGGGCCGTCTCGGGGCCCTCCAGAGCCGTCTTGAGGCCCTCTTGGAGGCCTCTTGGGCTGTCTTGGGGCGTCTGCGGGGGGCCTGTGAGCCGTCGTGGAGCGTCGGAAAGCTGAAAAGGCGGGAAAAACAACATGTATCCAAAACCTTTGTAAAATACACGATTTTGGCCTCTTGGGGCCATCTGGGGGGGCGGCCTCTTGGAGGCCTCTTGGAGCGCCTTCGGGGCCTCTTTGGCCGTCTTGGGGGTTATCTTGGGGGTCTCCTGGGGCCTCTTGGGGCCCGGCTCGAATTTCCGGTTCGCGGTTCCCCTCTTGGGGCCCTCTTGGGGCCGTCTTGGGCCTCTCTTCGCCCGTCTTGGGCGCGTCTTGGGCCGTCTCGGGGCCCTCCAGAGCCGCCTTGAGGCCCTCTTGGAGGCCTCTTGGGCTGTCTTGGGGCGTCTGCGGGAGGCCTCTGAGCCGTCGTGGAGCGTCGGAGAATTGAAAAGGCAGGAAAGGCAAAATGTTTCAAAACCTTTTTAAAATACACGAGTTTGGCCTCTTGGGGCTCTCTGGGGGGGCCTCTTGGAGGCCTCTTGGAGCGTCTTGGGGGCCTCTTTGGCCGTCTTGGGTGCCTCTGGGGGTCTCCTGGGGCCTCTTGTGGCCCCTTTGGTGCCTCCCGGGGCCCTGTGGAGGCGGGAGGCTCGAATTTCCGGTTCGCGGTTCCCCTCTTGGAGCCCTCTTGGGGCCGTCTTGGGCCTCTCTTCGCCCGTCTTGGGCGCGTCTTGGGCCGTCTCGGGGCCCTCCAGAGCCGTCTTGAGGCCCTCTTGGAGGCCTCTTGGGCTGTCTTGGGGCGTCTGCGGGAGGCATGTGAGCCGTCGTGGAGCGTCGGAAAGCTGAAAAGGCGGGAAAGGCAAAATGTATCCAAAACCATTGTAAAATACACGATTTTGGCCTCTTGGGGCTCTCTGGGGGGGCCTCTTGGAGGCCTCTTGGAGCGTCTTGGGGGCCTCTTTGGCCGTCTTGGGCTTATCTTGGGGCCCTCTTGGCGCCCTCTTGGGCCGTCTGGGAGCCATCTTGGGCGTCTTGGATCGATCGTAAACGTCTCGAGGCACGCTTGGACCGTCTTCGGCGCCTCTTGGGCCGGACGAGGGCGCTCCCGGAGGCCCGATCCTCCCATGGGGGGTTGTGGTCCCTGCCAGGGAGCCCCCGGCCCTGTAGCCTGTGTTATATATATATATATATATATATATATATATATATATATATATATGCACACTCGCCATCCTAAATATGCAATCATACCATCCCAGCCAAACCAGGTTCCCCCCCCTGTTCCCTGGTAAAAAACACTATGCGGTAACATTTGGTTCTAGCATAAAATTGTTTCACGAATCCCTTGCAAAAAACGGGACGAAGTGCACACGCGCGCGCCGTCGCGCGCGCATGCCGAAATCCTTCCAAAACCTCCGGTTCCGGAGAGATTTCAAAATTGATTTTCCCAAAAACATACAAAAACACAAGGTTTCGCAACACTGATTTGCTAAAAGAGCTTACGCGCGAGCTCTTGCGAAATCTTAAGAAAACCATTGGTTTTTCAATATTTTCACAAAATGCTACCAAACGGGCTTCGCGCGCGCATGTCGAAATCTGTCGAACGCCCTTGCGCGTGTGCCGTCGCGAGGATCCTTTGCAAAAAATGTGACGAAGTGCAGACGCGCGCGAAGTCCTGCGCGTATGCCGAAATCCTTCAAAAACCTTCGGTTTCGGAAAGATTCCAAAATCGTGTGTCCAAAAAACCTACAAAAACACAAGGTTTCGCAACACGGGTTTTCAACAAAAGCGTGCGCGCGCGCTCTTGCGTCGTCGTCGTCGTCGTCCTCCCTCCTCCCCGTCGTCGTCGTCGTCGTCGTCGCCGTCGTCGTCTTCTGTCTTTCCTCGTCGTCGTCGTCGTCTTGGCGTCGTCGTCGCTTCCGTCGTCGTTGTCGCCGTGGTCGTCCTTCCTCCCTCGTCGTCTTCGTCGGCGTCTCGTCGTTGTCCCTCCTATTTCGTCGCCGTCGTCGTCGTCGTCGTCGTCGTCTTCACTCCTCCCTCGTCGTTATCCTCCTCCCTCGTCGTCGTCGTCGTCCGTCGTCGGCGTCTCGTCGTCGTCCCTCCTATTTCGTCGCCGTCGTCGTCGTCTTCGTCGTCGTTGTCGTCGTCGTCGTCTTCCCTCCTCCCTCGTCGTTGTCGTCGTCGGCGTCGCCGTCCTTCCTCCTTCTTCGTCGTTCGCGTCGTCGCCGTCTTCCCTCCTCCATCGTCGTTGTCGTCGTTGTCGCCGTCGTCGTTTTTTCTCCTCCCTCGTCGTCGTCTCCGTTGGCGACGTCGTCGTCGTCTTCGTCGTCGTCGTCGGCGTCGGCGTCGTCGTCTTCGTCGACGTCAACGTCGGCGGTGTCGTCGTAGTCGGTGTCTGCGGCGCCGTCGTCGTCGTTGTCGCTGTCGTCGTCGGCGTCGGTGTCGTGGCCAAGTGCCATGTGGTACCTACCGTCACGGTCTTGTCTTAAGAAGTCTTGCGACCAAGTTGCGGGTGGGAGGGTGGGATGTTTGCACGAGCAGTAGAGAGGATAGCTTCAAGAACACCTTAATGCCATAACGTTCACATTGGGTCCCAGGCTGGATCTCTGTAAATTGGCGGCGGTGACGAGGGAAGGCTCGCAAGGCGTCCAGCACGACCGGCGGAGCTAAGAAAGGCAAGACAAGCTCACATCTTCATGCGTAGCGAACATCACTGTCAGACGCAATGTCAAAGCGCTTTGAGCAAGGATCACTGATCGCCTTGACATGTCAGATGAACTAGCCTATCGCATCTGATCCGTAGTTGGGGAGGTAAGCCCCATGCAACGAACACTGAGGCATCGGAAGTAACTTCGGATGGAACTCAAGGTACGCTATGCGGAGAGCGTTGCTCTGACGGGGTTGGTTTACAATGCCTCGATTTAGCCAACACCCAGCGTCCGACTTGCCAATGAACGTTTGCATGACAAAATATGATCCTACAGAGCCGCGCTTGAACTGGCAGTGAGCAACTCTTCGAGTTGAGGCCAAGGACGTGCTGTCACAGGCGCGGCGAATTGCAACCACGGGTTGCCGCGAGTAGCTAGGCTTCGCTGCTTGCCCTGCATTCTCCATGGGGGCAGCCTGCGAGTCTGCGCTACGAATTGCTATCGAGTTGTTGGCCGCCCACGGTAGATAGTGGTTGCCAATTGTGCTCCAGTGCTTGAGCTGGCTCGTTGAAGACAATCGCCAACCAAGAAAATGTCAGACGAGAGGGCAGCTGGTCGCACGACGAGCGCAGCACAACTTCGAATAGCCTTTCGCCAAAGAGGAATGCAAAATAGTATTTCGTGATATATACGGAACTAAGAAACACGAACATAACACGGACCGCTCACGTCTGCGGCAGGAGCAGAGTGCCAAGTGTGCCGCAGACAATGTTTTTAACGCCGAACAGATTGCACAACCATCTGAGCTCATAGCTGCAGGGAGCAGTGGCCTCAATCAGGGCACCGAGCCAGCAATGACGAGATGCAGCATGGGATCCTGCTGGACTTCCCCCGGGAAGGCAGAAAGGCTGACAAAGTGCCTCAAGAATGCGCCGATGGCCCCCAGAGCAGCAGTAGAAGCAGAAGCAGGACGAGGACGAAGACGAAGTCGACAAAGGAGCCCCCAATGCCTGGGGCAGGGTGGCCAACGTCAGTGGCCGAAAGCCTTGAACAAAAATAGCGCCCTCTCCGACGCCATCACGGGCCAGAGAGATGAGAGGGATACGCGCTCTTTTGTGTTGCTGGGCCAGCGCCTCTGTACCACGACGCGCTGGCCAGCGCCCGCGCGGACAGGGATGCGCCACGCACGCTCGGCCACAGCCCCTTGGCGTCCGCGGTCGCGGGCTGCGCTCAAGGAGCGCGGCTGCTGACCCCTGTTGCAACCGCGCTCACCAGCTACCCCTGGAAGACTCGGGGAAGCTCTCGTGTCCCGAGAGCTCGAAGTCGTCGTCCTCCGCGTCCTCCTGGGCGGCTGGCGCCTGCTGCGCCGCCGCCGCCGCCCGCGCCGCCGCCTCCGCCCGCTTCTGCTCCACCTTCCGCTGCAGCTGCTCCCCCAGCCCGCCGCTGACCCCGCTGGTGGCGCTCCTGGCAGAGGCGCCAGGCCCTGTAGCTGCAGCTGTGCGCGACCCAGAGGCCGCGCTGGCGGCCCCTGGACTGCGCGGGCTGCGCGCGTCACCGGCACTGGGAGGGCTGCGCGCCCAGCCAGCACTGCCGCCTGCCGGGGCGGCGGGCGGGCCAGAGCTGCGGGAGCCAGATCCGCTGCGGGGCGGCGAGGCCACCTGCCCGGACCCCGCCCCGGACCCGCTCGCAGGTGCCGGCGAGCCGCGCGACGAGCCGCGCGGCGAGACAGCGTCGACGCAGGCCGCGCGCTGGTTGCCCAGGGACTCTCCCGAAGATGGCCTGCGCTCGCCCTGGCAGCTCTCCACGCCCAAGTCTGGGATAGAGAGGGCGGGGGAGCTCTCGGTGCCACCGCGGCCTTTGCTGCCGCTGCTGGCGCCTGCGCTCCGGAGCGGTGAGGCGTGCCGAGAACCAGAGGCCCCAGACGTGCCAGAGCCAGCGCTGCTGGCATTGGCCCCGATGCGCACGGAGCCGGAGGAGCCAGGATCCCCGCGGGCTGGCGCCGCGCCCATGGGCAGCGACGGGAGGCTGCCAGAAGAGGACTCCTCGTGAGAGTCCCGAGCGTTGGGCCTGCTCCCGGCAGACCGTGGACTGCCAGGCCGCTGGCCTGCGCTGTCTGCGGCATGGCCGCTGCCAGGGCCCACCTCCTGAAGGCCAGGAGCTGCTGCAGAGTGGTGGCTGGACGAGTCGTCTGCGAACATGTCCGACACAGGCCTCGGCCCGAGCGGGGTCGACGTGCCCTCGCCCGCCAGCGCCGCTGCCCGCTTGGCGCGCGGGGAGGGGCTGTCCTGGCGCGCGCTCACTTCCTTCTCCTCCCTCTCCTCCCTCATCCAAGACCCCTCCTTCCGCATTCCTCCTCCCTCCTCCTCCTGGGCAATGTCTACATCGTAACCTCACCACCATTATTTCCGTTTGCAAGGTTGGACACGCTCGGGGCACTGGCGCGCGCTGCCAAATCCCACCAACCCTTAAGGCATAGATGTTTTTGTGCGTTTCCTTGTCTATCCTCCCGCCTTCTTCCCATTGGCGGAGGGGTTCATCACTGGTCCCTCTTAAAATATACCCCCTCCCACACCCGACCGGCGACGCCTGGGACCATGCCAACATCCCCCCGCCATCCCAATCAACAAAACTACACAAAGTGCACTTGCACAGAACAGTTCACAATGCACTTAGCACAAAAATCTGGATCATGCACAGACGCCCCGCGATCGCTTTGAAGCGATTGCTTTGGTTTTTGGCAAGGAGGGCGGGGTGCTGGCTTATTGTCTGCTATGTGCAATGCCAACCCCCCCAAACCATCCCTTGCAACAAACAATACAAAGTGCACGTTGTACCAACATCTGGATCATGCGGGACGCCCCACGGTCATTTTTCGGTGGATTTGGAAAGGGGCGGCGGGGGGGAGGCATTGCCTGCTGTGTGCAGGCGCATCACCCCTTGCAACAATAATGACAAAGTTTACTTTGCTAGGGATGGCGGGTGGGGCGGCAGACTGCCTGCTGCGTGCAAGCCTACCATGCCTGTCACCAACAAGTGCAAAATGAGTGCGGATGCACAGCCACACACAACACAATTGCTCAAGCCCACCGTGCCTTGTAATAGCTTTGCACCTTAATGGTCCACCAACCCGCTCGACCCGCCCGTCAGAGTCCGCCCGACCCGCCTGTTAAGAGTCCGCCCACCCGACCCGCCCGTTACGGTGCGCCCGCCCGACCTGCCCATCAGGGTCGTCGTCGCTGAAGTGCAGCACTGTCCTGTACCTGGTACAGGCCGCGTGTAGCAGCATGGCCCATCCCCGTTCGGCCCGCATCCGCGAATGGCCCCACAGCGGCTAGCGCAGAGCAGCGCGATCCCATCATAGTACCTACTCCTCCTCATCCGCCTCTTCCTCCTCCTCCTCCTCCTCCTCCTCCTTCTTCTCCTCCTCATCCTCCTCCGCCTCGTCCCTCTCCTGCAGTCCTGATGTTTGTGGATCTCCCCTAGGAATCCAGCCGCAACGTCGCCCTTGGGCGTCGGTTGTCTGCCAGGCGCCTGGGACAGCGCCGCAGACGCCGTCGCCAGGGCTGCAGCTGCGGCGTCGTCACCGTCGGAATCGTCCCCGAACATATCCTGCAGAGGCTTCTGCCTCCTCCTCCTCCTCCTCCTCCTCCTTTCTTCCATGGCCCATGGCGGTGCGCTGAAAAGTGTAAGCGAGAGAAGAGGGAGGGCCTTCTGAGAAGTCAGGCGGCTTCTTAGAAGGGCTCGAGGCTTCTGAGAAGGCTTCCAACGAGGCGGGAGGGCTTCTAAGAAACCCATGCCTTCGAGACGCCCTCCCCCTCGCTCCACACGCTTGAATGCGCCGCCAGCCATCGATCGATTTCTTTCCGTGCCCCCGGGGGAGCTGGACCCCCATCCTCCGCCTCCTCCTCTGGAATCGTTCCCGAAGATGTCCTGCAGGGGCCGCTGCCGCGCGAGCTCCGCAACTCCGCCCCCGCTGGTCCCAAACGCGGGCCCGGCGCCGCCAGCGGGAGGACGCGGGCTCGCTGCTGGGCCGCACGAGGAGGCGGCACCCTTCGCGGAGGCCAACGGCGAGGCGGAGGCCCCCACAAAATCAGCGGCAGGCTGCGGGTCGGCATGTTCGGAGGGCTGGTCCGCAAACACGTCCTCGATCTGGCGCCCGGCCGCCAGTGCAACACCGTCATCGCGAGAGCTCCCCGGACTGGCGCCCAACTGTCGCTCTCCGACGCTCTCCACGGAGCCTTCCACCAACAAGTCATCGACCTGGCGCCCGGCCGCGCTCGCCGCTGCAGCGCTGCCGTCATCCCGTGCGCTCGCTGAGCTGGCGCCTGGCTGGTGCTCCTGACTGCATTCCACGGCGTCTTCTGCGAACAAGTCGGCTATCTGGTGCCTGGCTGGCCCAGCCGCGCCCGCCGCTGCGGCGGCGCCGCTGCGGGTACTCGCTGGGCTGGCGCCTGGCGGGTGCTCCTCGAGCGTGCCGTCGAAGGGTCGCTCGGCTGCGCCCACTGCCAATGTGGCAGCGCCGCAGCGGGCGCCCGCAAGGCTGGCGCCTGGCTGTTGCTCTCCGACGCTCTCCACAGAGACCTCCGTGAGTGTGCAAGTGAGCGGGCGCTCGGCTGCGCCTGTCGCTGGGGTGGGGCAGCCAGCGCGGGAGTCGGCAGGGCTGGCGGCTGGCTGTTGCTCTCTGGCGTTCTTTCCACAGTCTTCAGCGAGCATGCCTTCGAAAGGACGATCGACTTCTCCCGCCGCAGGGTCAATGTAGCCGTCGAGAGCGCCAAACAAGTCGCGCTCTCTGCTCCTCCCTTCGAAAACTTCCACGATCGCGCCGTCGGGTCTCAAGGGGCGATCGGCCGCGCCCGCCGCCTGTGCGGCGCCGCCGCGGACGCATGCGCCAGGCTGCCCTTCGGCTCTCTCTGCGGAGTCGTCCTCGAGCACCTCGTCATCGGGGCGCGCGGGCGGGGCTTGGGCTGACGGGCGGGCGGAGGGGGCGGCTGGCGGCTCCTTCGGCAACGGCGCTGGCTGCGCTGGGGCAGCGTCGCCGCCGCGAACGCACAGCAAGCCACGCCCACGGCTGCTCTCATCCGAATTTTCCGCGAGCACTCCATCAAATCTCAAGGGGCGCTCGGCCGAGCCCACTGCTTTTGAGGCCCCGCGGACGCATGCGTCGTGCTGCGCTCCAGCGCCCTTCGCTGAGTCGTCCGCCAGCACGCCAGGGCGCTGGGCTGGCATGGACATGACATGGGCTGGCGGGCTAGCGGAGGGGGTGGCTGGCGGCCCCACTAGCAGCGGCGCTGGCTGCGCCCTCTGCGGCTGCACGCCCGCTGGCGACCTCCAGCTAGATAGCGAGGGGGCGTGAGCGGGCGCGCTGCCCTGCTGCTGGCGGCTGCCTGCCGCGCTGGGGGCCGTGGGGAGCTCGGCGAGACCTGGCAGATCGACGAGGTCGGCGAAGCCGCCGAGCTCGAGGCCACCTGCCCAGTCGCCAGGCACGTCGCCAAGCGAGGAGAGGCCTGGCGAGTACTGTCTCGCCGCGAACTCGCCGATGCGGTGCCGCAGCCGCCTGGTCTCCTCGGCCAGCCTGGCCCGCGCCGCCGTCTCCGGGCCGCGCCGCCGCGGCTGTGACAGAGCCGCTTGGACGCCGAGCGCGTCCTCCTCCTGCTCCATCAGCACGGCCTCCAGGTCCTGAAGCTCGCGGAGAGACGGATCGAATGACGCCCTGAGCTCGAAGGAGCTCCGGACCTGCGCGCGCTCGTCCTCATCGCGCCGCAACTTTTCCCGCAACCCGTTCCACTCTTCTTGAACCTGCCGGCGGGCGATGTCATCATCCACCCGTTGCCGCTTCAGCCTGTCGATCTCCTCCTGCAGGCTCTGCCGCTCCAGCTGCCACGCCCGCCGCCCGCTCTCATCTTGGGTCGCCTCGCGGCCGCGGAGGCTCTCCACCTCCGACAGCAGCCGACCGTTCTCCCTCTGGAGCAGGTGCACCTGGCCCTCGAGCACGTCTACCGCCTGCTGCCGCACCTCCTTCCGGCGAGGGTAGTTGTTAACCGTAAGCGCGGTACCAGGCTAAATTACCAGACTAAAGTACCAGCCAGACTCAAGTACCAGACTAACGTACCAGACTAAAGTACCAGACGAAAGTACCAGCCGAATCTACCATATTAAAGTACTAGACGGATCAGACTAAGAGTACCAGACTGACGCACCAGACTGTAATACCTTAGTCTGGTACTTTAGTCTGACTAGTCTGGTACATTAGTCTGGTACATTAGTCTGATGAGTCTGGTAACGCTAGTCTGGTTCATTAGTCTGATTAGTCTGGTACATTAGGCTGGTACATTAATATGGTACTTTAGTCTGATACTTCATTATGTTACTCGGGTCTGGTACTTTAGTCAGGTACTGTGATCTGGTTCCGCTAGTCTGGTGCTTTAAACTGGTACTTTAGTCTGGTACATTAGTCTGACTCGTCTGGTACATCAGCCTGGTTCCTTCGTCTGATTAGTCTGGTACATCAATCTGGTACATTAGTCCGGTACATTAGTCTGGTACTTTGGTCTGTCACTTGAGTCTGATTAGTCTGGTCCACTGGTCTGGTACATTAGTATAGTACTTTAGTCTGGACTGTAGTCTGGTAATTTCGTCTGGTACATTCGTATACTTGGTCTGGTACCGTAGTCTGGTACTGTAGCCTGGTACTTTAATATGGTGCTTTAGTCTGGCACTTGAATATGTTACTTTAGTCTGGTACTTTACTCTGGTACTGTAGTCTGGCACTGCTAATCTGGTACTTGAATATGGTACCGCTAGTCAGCTACTTTAGTCTGGTACCACTAATCTGGTACTGCTAAGCTGGTACCGCTAGTCTGGTACCGCTAGTCTGGTACCGCTAGTCTGGTACCGCTGAACTGGTACATCTATTCTGGTACACCTAATATGTTACCGCTAGTCTGGTACTGCTAGTCTGGTACACCTAGTCTGGTACTGCTAGTCTGGTACACCTAGTCTGGTACACCTAGTCTGGTACCGCTAGTCGGGTACCGCAAATTTGGTACCGCTAGTCTGGTACACCAAGTCTGGTACCCCTACTCTGGTAATTTAGTCTGGTACTTTCGTATGGTACTTTCGTCTGGTACTGTAGTCTGGTACGTTAGTCTGGTACTGTAGTCTGGTACTTTAGCCTGGTGCTTTAATCTGGTACTGTAATCTGGTACTGTGGTCTGGTACCGCTGGTCTGGTACCGCTGATCTGGTACCGCTAAATTGGTACCGCTAGTCTGGTACTTTAATCTGGTACCGCTATTATGGTACTGCTGGTCTGGTACCGTTTTCTGGTACACCTAGCCTTGTACACCTAATCTGGTACCGCTAGTCTGGTACCTCTAGTCTGATACCGCTAATCTGGTACTGCTAGACTGGTACTGTAGTCTGGTACTTAAATGGTACCACTAGTCTGATACCGCTAGTCTGGTACAGCTACTCTGGTACTTTAGTCCCGTACTTTAGTCTGCTGCTTTAATATGGTACTTTAGTCTGGTACTGTAATATGATGTTGTAGTCTGGTACTGTAATATGACACCGCTGATCTGTACCTCAAATCCGGTACCGCTAGTCTGGTACTTCAATATGGTACTTTGATATGGTACCGCTAGTCTGGTACTTTAGTCTGGTACCGCTAGCCTGGCACTAGAATATGGTACTTTAGTCTGGTATTCTGTAATCTAATACTTTAATTTGGTACGTTAGCCTGGCACCGCTAGTCTGGTACCGCTATTATGGTATTGCTAGTCTGGTACCGCGAATATGGTACTTTAGTCTTAGTCTGTTACTGCAAACTGGTACCGTAGCTTGGTACCGCTAGTCTGCTTATTTAGTATGGTACTTTAGTTCGGTACTGTAATATGCTACCGCTAATCTGGTACTGTAGTCTGGTACCGCTAGTCTGGTACCACTAGTCTGGTACTTTAGTTTGGTACTGTAGTCTGGTACTTTGGTCTGGTACTTTAGTCTGGTACTGTAGTCTGGTACTGTATGTAGTCTGGTACTGTAATATGGTACCGTAGTCTGGTACCGCTAGTCTGGTACCGCTAATCTGGTACTGTAGTCTAGCACTTTCGTCTGGTACCGATAGTCTGGTACAGCTAGTCTGGTACCGCTACTCTGGTGCTGTAGTCTGGTACTTTAGTCTGGTACTCTAGTCTGGTACTTTAGTCTGGTACCACGCTTACGGTTAACAACCCGCCGCTTACGGTTAAGACCTCCTTTCCCTTTCCGGCGGCGAGGTGAAGGGACCTGCGTCTTATAGGCAAGGGGGCTGTTCAGGAGGGAGCGGTCTTTTCACAAAAGCCGTGCTCCCGCGCCTCCTCAGATTGTGGTACTCTTGGGCGGCCGACCTCCTAACCACCCAGACCTGCACCTCCTGACTTTCACATCGCAACGCACTCTTGGTTCTGGAGCCCTCAGCCCTGCCCCTCTCGCACGGACTTTGCGCCGCGGGTTCCTTCTATTGGGCCCGCGTGGCCCGAAATGGGCCTCTGGAGGCCAAACTCCTGTCGGGCTGGCAGCAGGAACTTTCTCACCGCGCCCGATGGTGCTCTGGGCCCGCGCCCTTCTGGCCAGAGGCTGGTCCTCCGCGTGCTCCGCTGCGCCCCTCGAGGCCTGCAGCGCCTCCACCTGCGCGCGCAAGCGGTCGGACGCGAGCTGGCTCTGCTGCCCGGCCTCGGTCAGCACGCGCAGCTGCCTCTGGCTCTCCTCGGCGCGGGACCGCCCTCGCCCCCGGAGGGGGAGAGAGAGGAGAGGCCACCGGCTGCGCGCGTGTTGGGGCCTGGTGGATAGCGCGAAGAGGGGCCGCGTCCGAGTAATCACGCGGACCGAAGAACATCACATACTCAATGACTCTCTGGTTCTGCTATCCAGCGTTCCGCGAACTTCATCCCACCCGCGAACAAATGTACCTGCGTCCAAGTCTCAGGGCGGGCAAGGAGGATAATAGAGGAGCGTAATCAGACACGGACGCGAACGGGGAGGGGGAAGGAGGAAATGTTGGATGGTTCCCTTTCTTGCCTGGCAGAACTAATTTCTGTTCCGCACTGCTTCAGCGATGGCGCGGAAGTCCGCGGCTTTTCGACAGAAAGTCTCCAAGCAAGGAAAGGAAGGGTCAAGCATAACCCGTCGACCAACAACGGGTGGGAATCCCCTTCGGTGGATATTCTCCCAGCGACGGCCACCAGGAGGACGCGAGATAGGCGGGCATTTACGGACAGACAGAGCGCAGCGCAATAGACGTGGCGGTCGTAGGCACTGAAACCCAACGCACATGACGGTCCGCACGACAGAGCACAATGTTGCTGGAGCTGCATAAGGCCACACCCACGAAACTCTGCCTGAAGAAACGGAACGCAAGATCGTACTGATGCGGGCGTCGAAACACATGTTGTTATTCATTGATTACTCACTGGGTGTAAAATTGGCGCACCACGGCAATGACAGCGCGGTAGAATTCGTGAATGGGCCCAGCTGGTTGCGCCATACAGCAGAACCAGCGATCGTCCAAACGAATGGGGACACGAGCCAACTCTGAAAAGAAATCGTCGGTCGTACACGGCCAGATCGAAAGACGGATAAGAAAAACGCTCCTGATTTGAATCTTCCGTTCGACATATAAGAAATCAGCCTCGGTGCAATGCTGGCATAATTTAAATCAGCACTCCGCGACGCGGCGGGGCATAGACCTGAAGCTGAAAATCTACGCAATAATGAAATAAACGGAGGAAGCTACGCACAACAAACGGATGGTATTGATCTACACTGGCTGTTCACAAAAAGGAACTGCCCTCCATTCCGGATAGCAGTTGCAGATTCGAGCCTTCAGGGGTGTAGCTTTCGGATGTCTTTGAATGTTTCGAGAGAGGGGATGGGGCCGTTTGTACTTAGAGGGCCGTCCTTCCGGCGCCACTCTAGAGCTCACATCTCAAATTTTGGGGCAGCGCCCTTCGATGGAACACATCCGCCGACCCCTTGGGGTTCTTCGTCGTGTGAGATGCTTCCCCCTCCCCAAACCCCTCCCCCAGGAGCCTGGTCCGGGCGATTCGGGGGGGGTCTCCCCGGGCGGCCCGGGAGGTGTACTTTGCTACAAAAATTCTGCCGGGGGGGCATCGAGAGCCTCCAAAGGCCACGAGGGCCCCGAACGGTCCAAGAGAGCCCCGAATGGCCGAAACATCGCCCCAAGACGCCCAAGATGGCCTCCAGACGGCCCAAGATGCCTCCAAGGCGCCCCAGGAGGCTTCGAAGAGGCCTCCCAAGAGAGCTCCAAGAGGCCAAAATCTCTGATTCTCATTTTTTCAAGCTGTTTGGCTTTCTCGCCTTTTTGGGCTTCCGGCGCTCGAAAGCGGCGCTCTTGGCGAGGCCTGGGTGCAAACTCTTGATGGCTCTAACCCTCCCCTCCATTTTCCTCGGCGGAGCTTCCCAGCTCGACCAATTAGCATCCCACCCTGGATGGACGCCAAAATCCAGCCGACCCCCGCGGCCTGCGCGAAGGAACTGAGGAACGGGTAGCAGCCTGCGACGCGGCGAACGAGAGCACCTTTGCCGCTCGCAACGGCGCGCGCGCGAGGCCGAGCACCCAGGCGATGCGCTCGTCGGCGCCAGCGGCTGGGCGAAGAGCGAGCCGGCGCCGCGCGCTTAGCCGCGCCGCGAAGCATTTCTGTACCCTCCTACAGGGCAATCCCCAATCCCTAGATCCTGCGAGAAGGGCCCAACTTCCTCGAGGAGCTCTTCAATCTCTTCAGCGAACCAGGGGCGGCGAGAAACCCGCGAGGGCACCTTTGGAGGCCCAGGGCTGGATCTCGGCGAGAACGCGACGCAAACAGGGACATGGTCGGACGGGTTTCCCGGCTTGTTCGGAGCCCCAAGGACGAGGCGGTTGGGGGAGAAGTCGACGGCCTGGGCAGGGAAATGGTTGGTGTAGATTCGATCGGTCCTCCACAGACTGACACCGTCCTGAGCGACCTGCGAGGCGCGGGCGAACTCGGGCTGGCGGACTTCTAAGTGCTCGGGGAGCAACCGGTTAAACTCGCTGGCCAATGCGTTCGCGGGGGTGACCGTCCCCCCGTCGCCGCGGGCTCTACTCCCCCCGTGGCCAGGCAAGTTCCAGCCGCCCACCCTAATGGAGAGCGCGGAGCACTGCTCGCGCACAACTCGCCGAAGACACTGAAGCGCCCTAGACTGCGCCCGCCGACAAAGTTTAGGGTTCGGGTGCATGCCGACGATCTGCAAGGCCCCAGCGGGCCCCGAAATGAGAAGACTATGGGGTCGACCCGATATGCGAGTAGAATGAACATGATGAGGAAAGAGAGCCATGAGAGCAGGGTGAATTGCGATCATGCAGCATCCAGCTGTTTCGCGTGCGTGGGAACTTCAGAAGATATACAGACCTCGAACTTGACGCTTGAGCAGCCTCATGTCCTCCGAATCCTCCTGGACCTCTTGGGCGCCCGCAGCTTTGCATTCCTGAGCAATTTTGGCAAAAAGTATGTGTTCGGCGCGCGTCGTCTCAATCGGCGCGCTGCAAGAACCGAATGGCCCTCTGGTATTCCATGAGACTGCAAAGAATGTGCCGTGAATCTGAAACGGGCGACATCATGCTGGCACACTACTGATGGAGGGGCCACCAGAGGAACCCGCAAAGGAAGAAGAGGAGGAAGAGGACGGAGAGCTGCCGCAGTCGGCGCCGCTGCCCTGCTCCGTGCGCGCATGTCCAGGGCCCCCCACCGGTGCCCATGTGGACGGAGCCCGCGAGGTTCCTGGAGTGGCCCTGGCTTGCCCACCGTGAGCAGCCCGACTCGAACTGCCAGCGACGGGCGGAGGCGGCTTGGAAGCTGGTCCATCGGCCGTGGTAGATGACAACGAACATGAAGTGCAAGCAGCGCGGGGCAGCACCTGGCCATGCGAATTCCCCACGGGCGGCGTGGCAATTTCCAATGACATGGCGGTGCGAATACGCTCGGAGGCCTTCGCGCCCGTGATCCCGACACCCTCGAGCGACTCCATGTCGGGGGGGATGCCCATTTGTTCGTTGTGACTCTCGTGAGGCGCGAAGAGAACCCGCGCGTCCTCGTGCCAGACCATGAAGAGGACCCCCTTGGGCGGGCCGCTCCTTGTCCTGACCGTGGTGGCGTCTAGTTTGTTCTCCGCGCGCACGTGGTCCGTGAGCACATGCCGCAAGACTCCGAAGTGCGTGTTCACCTTGCGAGTGCCTGGGCTCGCGTCAATGCGGGCCCGCAGAGGTGTGTGGTCTCCTGTTGCGGTCGATCCACTACAACCCTTCAGCGCGTGCGCGGTCGAGGAAACACTTGGCGTGGAGCGTCGAGCAGAACTTGATGGAGCAGCGGCGATTGAGGTTGAAACACTTGGCCTCTGCGGCCACGGCCATGTCCTGAAGCGTCGCATTGATGACTGAGTCGGCGCGAGCGCGCATGACGGTGGCCAGCGTCTTGCGCGGGAGCCCGCTCACCCGAACCTTGGTCGGGTCGGGGTCGGATCGACTGGGCGCGCTGGACCTCGGCGAACGCGTCGGGGAACCGGCACTTCCAATGGGGGGTGGTGCCGTCGAGGCCCCAGGGGAACTGCCAGCTCGCTGTCGTAGCTTTTCGCCAAGCCTGGCCCCCAGCCCAGCCTCGAGCTGCTCGACGGTGGCGGCGGGGGAGGCTTGCTCGACGGCCGGCTTGAGAGCGGCGCTCTGCATGTCGAGGAGCTGCCTGATTTACTAGATGGCAACGTCATGCTTGTCAATGGAGGTATGGATTTCGGTTTTGCTGGCACTGGCCTCCACCTCCGATCCTCCTCCATCTTCATCAGGAAGTTCACCAGGTCGGTGTTGGTCGGCCGCAGCACAGGTGTCGGCGGCTGTCTTACATCAGCCTCATACTTCTCGAATTTGACAGCGGCGGCGCGTTTTCACCTCCATCTTCAGACTGAGACTTGTCCCCAGCGGCGAGGTCAAACGTCTGAGGTGGCAGGGGGGGGGCCTGAAGCACCTGCTCCAGGCTGGCTCACGTGCGGGCTGTCGCTGCTGTCGGTCTGGAGGTCGGCCTCGACCAGGGCTCCGTACGTGTCGAGCATGAGACCTGGCGGCCCAAGTCCAGTTGGGGTGGCGGTTCCAGACATGTCGTCGCCTTCTGACTCCGTGATCTCGCTAGTCTTGGCTGCGGGCTGGTGTTCATGTTCATCACCCCACCGCTTGCCTCGACCTGCAGCCCAGGGATCGTTCCCGTCGAACGGGTCGGTAAGAGACGTGGGCATGCCCTTGCCGAAGGGGGAAGGATGTGACTTGCCACCTCTCGTGCCGCGCCCATGACCCCAGCACCGGCCGCGTCCCCTGAGCTCATAGCGGGATCAACTGGCGAGACTCGAATGGTGTCGAAGCCAGCAGGCGAATGCTGGGGAGGGCGAAACAAAACTGGAGAGTGTCCACCTGGATCAGACTCCAGGATGGCCCTTCAAGAGAGGCTGCCCGCTCAAAGAACATGAACCAAAATGGCTACGGAAGGAGGAGGACGAGGAGGAGGACGAAGAGGAAGAGGAAGAGGAAGAAAAAGAGGAGGATGAGGAGCAGCCGGAGGAGGAGGAGGAAGAGGAGAAAGAGGAGGAGAAGTAGGGGTAGGGGTAGGGTGAGGAGGAGGAGGAGAAGGAGGAGGAAGAGGAGGAAGAGGAGGAGGAGGAGGAGAGTTGGAGGCGGAGGAGGAGGAGAGTTAAAGGCGGAGGAGGAGGAGGAGGTGGAGGAGAAGGAGGAGTTGGAGGAGGTGGAGGAGGAGGCGGAGGAGGAACGACCTCCAGGGACCCCACGGGATTTCCTGGGCGGCGCGCCCCTTCGTTTGCGTATATACAGAAACTCCAGACCAACCATAGAGCGGCGGGCGAATAAACCTTCCACAAGTTTCGCACACATGGAAATACGGTTGAAGTCCCCAACGACGGCCCACGGGCCACTACTCTGTCGGCGGTCCCTCCGCGCCTCCGTGTTCCAGCGTGCATTCGCTTTCCCCGGAGTGCCCTAGCATGCACCCCGCGCGCCTCCACCCCCAAGAGAAGTCTTGGGTGGCCTCGAGCCTGCGCCTCTGACGATTCAAACCCCGCCACCATCATCGAAACGATGGTGACGGAGAAAAAGACGACGCTTACTGGTCGCGGTGGGCACACATTCGAATCTGACCAAATCGGCAGCAACAGTGGGAACAATGTGCAACACATGGGGCCGTTGCACTGCAGTTCCAACTTGTTGTTCCTCGCTCCTCCCTCTCCTCCTTCCTCTGTCCCCCATCCCTCCTTATCTACCCTCCTCCTTGCCTTTCCTCCCCGTTCCCCATCCCATCATAGCGATCATGCCCCAGATATTTGGACCCTTTCACTTCCTTCCTCCCCCTCCTCCTGCTCCTCCTCCATCCTCTGGAACCAACCACGCCATCGACGCCTGTGAGGCTGCGAAAAAAACGGGAACAGAGGAGAGGTTGAACAAGGGGCAACTGGAGGCACTTCATGTGCCCCGGTCACATTGGGCAACTCTGCCGTGTGGACGCGGCATTATGAGAGGAGAACGAACAGGAGTAGGAGGAGGAGGAGGAGAAGGAAAATGAGGAAGAGGAGGCGGAGAAGGAGGAGAAAGAGTAGCGGAAAACAGCAGGCGCCAACAGCCGAACCCTCTCTGCCGTGCAGCACTTTTCTTCCCTGCCGCATACCAGCAAGCACGCGCGAACAGGCGGCCTGGAGGCCCTCCTCCCTCCTCCAAGTGCTCCGGTTTCTTTCTTTCTCCTCTTCTCCTCCCCGCTCCTCCTCCAAGCTCTTGCTCCTGCTCCTGCTCCTGCTCCTGCCGGCCCCCACGCCGAAGGCTTCCCGTAACCCTAGTCGCGTTTCTTGTGTAGGACGCATTGGGAGCAAGCAAGGGCGTCTGCGCGGCGCACGCCCGAGGAGCACCTGCACGAAAACCTCTGGGGTCCAGGACGGTACTGGCCCATCCTTCTGGCATCATGCCATCTGCTACTTGCCTTTTCGTTTCCCATTGCTGGTTCCCGTGCTTTCTCGCCCTCGCCAGGTCCACTTCCCCTGTATGTTATTGACACAGCCCGACCGGCGGGCCTGCGCACACTCACTCTCTCGGTCCAGATCATGCCATGTTTTGCGCTTTCTCCCTTTCTCCCTTTTCTGCCAAGCGCCCGCCTCACCCCGTCTTCATGCATTCTCCCTTGTTTTGCTTCCCCTCCCGTTCTCCATCTTCCCCAGCTTTGCATCCTCTCTTTCGCGAAAGGGAACTCGTGGGAGCGAGCGCAGATGACAGGAAAGACTGTGGGCGCTGTTTCCTCGCCTGGAAGCTTGAACCAAACAGTCACGTGCATGATAGCTTGCAGGGGGGACGATTTGTCAACATCGATCCTTGCTCACTGTCTTGTGATTTATGTTTCTCTGCTACTTCCACGCTCGATGCACGGCATTGAACTGCCTTCGCTATTCAGGCTCTGTAATTCACCATCTCCCAACCGGCGCCGGCCTCGGGAAAAAATCCGGCCGCTCTGCGCTCTCTCACACCATCATACTGCATCCTCCCTTGTCCTGCTTCCTCTCCCTCGCGTCATCCGTGTCTCCGTTACACTTCTTTGTTATCACTTGCTGCTTCGGTGCTGGCCCTGAGGGAGGAGTCCTCCTCCGGGACAGCCCCGCGGCAACGCCGACGGTCCTGCGTAAATTGTTCACGTGCAGGCAAGAGGCATTTGCCTCCTGGACACGGCCCAGCGGCCAGGCTGGCAGCCCTGTGCGAGCACTCCACGTACGAAGCAATCGCCTCGAGGACACAGCACGGCGAGAATGCTGGCGGTCCACTATACACGCGCCACACGCACACATCGATACATCCGCAAGACAAATTCCTCTCCGGTAGTGCATTCCCAAGGAGGTGCCGACCTCCTAGACACAGCCCAGCGGCAATGCTGGCAGTCCTGCGTGCATCATCACCGCACGCTCGCGCGAGTACTAGTTAGGTGTTCACCCCATTGTGCCCCGATGTGCCCTTGACGCCCTCGAGCCTCATCCCCGCGCTGCGTCCAGCTCGAGTGCGGGAACAAACCAGCAAGCAGCCTGATTTACTCCCGCCCTGGCCCCCCAAAGGAAACACCGACCTCCATGACACAGTTCGGCGGCAATGCCGGTGGCCCTGCGTTCTCTTTACACATGCACACGTGTAATCTGTACACGCGCACACGCCACCCTCAAGTGAAGCAGGATCGGCCAGCCGCCAGAGGCGGTTGCAATTGAGGCGCAGAATGTTCCTCGCCTCCTTACCGTCCGCGACGTGCGAAGAAAAGTTCCCCCAATCCCGGCAGCAACCCTGCGCCAGGCCGGCGCTGGCAGCGGCAGCAGTGACCGGTTGCGGTCCAAGTCAGCCGGCGCGTCCCCCTGCGACGTCAGGCCACCTGGGCTGGGGGGGCCCAAGTGGCGCGCGATGCGTCGTGACTTCGCGGGAGGAGCGCCGCCGTTCCTGGCCTGGGCAGCCTGCTTCTCCCGAAGCTTCCTCGCGGTTTTCTTGATGTCAGTGCTCCGCTCCAGCTCCTTCGCGACCTGGTCGAGCAGCCCAGAACGCACTATGCTTGGGGCGCGTCCTCCGCCCAAGAGGGCCTGGACCTCGTCGAGAGGCAGCTTGGCGTTCGCCTGCAGCTGTTCCTGCCGTCGCTCATCCTAGTAGCACTCGATCCGCTGGAGCTTCCGATAGGCGACCTCCACGCCTGCCAAGTTGTAGAAGTCCACCTGGTCAACGGTGCCGAGGGTCTCCACGATCCTGCTCGAAGTCTCGAGCTCTCCCACGCCGAAGTCGGAGTCCTGGAGGCGACGACTAGACTTCCACACCTCTGAGTGGAGCACGGGCCCACCATCGCGTTGCTGGCAGGTCGCACGCCACTTTGCCGACCGTGGGGGCTTCACTCCGAAGTCATAGATCTGCTCCTCGGCGCGGTCCGCGACCACAAACGACCACGGCCGCTCCCTGCCCACAGCGGAGCGCACCACCGACAGGATGCACACGTCGCTGCCACGGAACTCCCTCCTCAGCTGAGACACCTCGCTATCCGCGACGAGCGCCACGAAGACCGAATGGCCGGTCGCCAGCATCGCCACCTGCCGCCGGGCCGCTACGCCCGCCAGAGAGGGCCCGCTCGGCGCGCCCGCGCCAAAGGCGCCCCCCCAGGCCTGGAGCCCAGTGAGGTCCTCGACCGATCTCCAGCCCCAGCCGTGCGGCGCGACCCCCGTGGCAAGGACCACCACTGGGACCTGGGAGTCCGTCTGGGATCGCCTGGGCGCGGGCGGGCGGCGGAGGCGCGGCGGCGGCCGCGGCGGGCGCCGACGGCGGCGCGGCGGGCGCTGCCGCCAAGGGCTCCGAAGGGGGGGCCGTCGCGGGGGCCCCAGCCGCGGCCAGGCCAGGCGCTCCCGCAATGGGCAGCCGCGCCGCCGGCCCCTTGGGCGCCACCGCAGCTCCAGGCGCCGCCGCCAGCACAGCCGCAATCGCCGGGAAGGGCACGAGGACGTCCCGCGGCACCGGCGCGCCAGCCCCGCAGGCGGCGAAGTCCGCCAGTGCCCAGAGCCTCCCGGCCTCGTCCCGGGCCGCGCATGGCCGCCATCTCCACCCTTGTCAGGTCGTCGCGGAAGCGATACACCTGGGCCCGAAGGACACCGGTGGCGGTGGCCAGCGAGCGGCAGCGAAAACCATCTGCACGATGCCCACGCCCGGCGAACTCGTCCGATAATTTTCCTTATACATGTCCAGGTCCGGCGTGCCGACGAGCCCGATGCCGAACTCAGTCGCCGAGCACGCCGAACGCCAGCACCCGACGGCCCGGCGCTGGTGGTACAACGGTGTTACAACGGGGGCCCCGCCACTCCGTACCGCACGAACGCCCACTCCATGATCTGATGGAGCATGAGCGCCACCGCCGTGCCCGTTGTTGCCATCAGGAAGAGAGCCTGTGCCGTCAGCGTCCGTCGGAGGGCGGCGCAGGTGGCACCAACCCGCCGCCCGCAGGGCCAGCGCACACACCAGCAGCCCCCCGCCGAAGCCCATCTGGGCGACCACGGCCGCCCCAACGCCGCCGGTCGGCGGAGACCTCGGAGACACAGCCGGGGCCCCCGTGCACGCCGGGCACGCTGGGATCTCGGGGAACGCTGGGCAGGGCGGCGCCGCCAGGCAGGCCGGCACCTCGGGGCAGCGGCTAGCGTAGAAGAGCGAGCCGATCCCCACCTAGCGCAGTGTCTCCTGCGCTGAGAACTCCGCCAGCCCTGCCTGCATGGACGGAGGTCTGCCGAGGGTAGCCGATTCTAGCACAAACTTTCGAGCTTAAATAGCTACGGAAAGGACGCGGCCACTCTCTGATGCTGCAATGCATTCTTCAGTAAACAAATACCATCTGGTGCGTTATTCCTTCAACAATGGTGTTTCCGCTGCGTTATTTGGCACGTTTCAGGGCCTGCCGTGTTGGCCACTGTTCAGGATCGGCACTTTGCTCTGATCGTCCAGCATGGCATTGTTCAGAATGGCGCCATTGCACCAGCGCGGGCAACACTTCTGGATCCGAGTCCTTCCTTGCCGCTGCCATCCTGCTCCTCTGCTCCTTCCTCCGCCTTTCCCCTGCTCCTTCTGATCCTCACGCTCCTCTTGCGCCTGCGCATGCTACTGTTCCTCCTTGTCCTCCGTCCTTATCAGAATGCCTCTTCCTCCTGTTCATCCTGCTGCTCATATGCCTCCCCCTCCCCCTCCAGTGTACAAAACCACCCCGTGTGTTTCGGCATCATTCGATGGGTCTTTCGGGGAATTTGGGCCCTCTTGGGAATCCCAGCCAGGATAGCATGATTCAGCGCAATTGGGAGGGATTTGCGAGAGAGCTATACTGGTGCGAGCGCATCAAGCCCGTCCCTTTCCCTCGTTCCTCTATGCGCCATCGTTGCTACCCTTCCTCTTCGCTCTTCGCTCCTCATCATGTTCACTCCTCCTCCTGCTCATCGTATATTTTAAAATCCTATCCTCTCCACCCCTCCAACTGCATCATCCTGAACCGCCTGAAACAAACACGAAGCCGACGCCGATGGAGATGGGGCGGAACAAGGGGCAACTGGAGACAACTTATGTGCCCCAATCACCTGGGCAACACTGCCGTCCTGGACGCGGCGATCTGGGAGGAGGAGGGGGAGGAGGAGAGGATGAGTATGATGAGGAGGGTATAATATTTCGACTCGAGCAACGCTGGCGCACTGTATACCACCTCTGCTCTCCACGATGCCACACAATGCGCGCGAACAGGCTGCCTCCTCCTCACACTCCCTCCTGTGTCTCCTCCTATTCATCCTCCTACCTCATCCACCTCATCCCCGCTATTCATCCCCCCTCCTGTTTCGCCTACTTTTCCTCGTCTCCCTTTTTTGACCTCCTCCCCCCTCGAGTTCCTCGCTCCTCACTCCCGCCTCCTCCTGCCCCCCCTCATTCCCTCTCTCCGCTCCTCCCTCACCAATTTCCCCGATCCTCTTTCCCTCACTCCATCCTCGCTCCTCGCTCATTCCCCCTCCTCCTCCTCCTCCTCCTCCTCCTCCTCCTCCTCCTCCTCCTCCTCCTCTTCCTCCTCCTCCTCCTCCTCCTCCCTCCTCCTCCTCCTCCTCCTCCTCCTCCTCCTCCTCCTGCCCGTCCCCCTCCTCCTCCTCCTCCTCCTCCTCCTCCCTCCTCTCCTCCTCCTCCTCCTCCTCCTCCTCCTCCTCCTCCTCCCCTGTATCGCCCTACTGCTGCTGATGCTGCTCTTCTTCCTAAGGCAAAATCATGGGGCCCGTCCAGGGACGCCTTCTGACTAGGACTCCGCAACACATCCAACCTTGTCCGCGAAACGTAATGGCAACATTTCCCCAGCGCTTCCCGTCCTCCCTCCCTAGCGAAGGGGTCCCCGGGGCATTTAATTTTGCTCACACCATGCCGAACAACACTTGTTGCGCGTCAAACAAGCAAACTGCAACCACTGCTTGCATTACAAGCTGATTGCTTGGCGGGAGAGGACGTGGATGCCATACGCGCGAAGGATTACTTGATGCGTGATGCTTCACAGGTGGTGCCTGTGATGGCGTCACGGCTGCGACACCCCATTATTGTATTTGCTTGATATGCCTTACATGGCTGGTGCCCACTGCTGGCTCGATGGTCGCGATGTATCCTTCTTGCCCTGGTTGTATGGAGGCGGTGGTTTAAGGGTGGCGCCCTATGATGCCTTCGTAGGTGTGTGTGTGTGTGCTAATATTGATGGCCTGGACCTTACAAACAAAACCATGCGGCTGGCGCGACACGCTGCCTCAATGTTTGCGACTTCCCGTCTCTGTCATGGGCCCCCATGGTTATTGTCCTACTTGTGATGCCTCAAGAGTTGCGAACTATCCTTCCGGCCATGGTATCATGTGGAACTTTCCCCTCTGGGCTGATACCATTTGATGTCGCACTGCTTGCGAATTGTCGTTGTAGACATGGTGGCCTACGGGCGGCCTCCCATCGGCATGCGCCCTGTGATGCCTGATATGTTGCGAAGTCTTGCCTTTGCTCTGGTGCCCTATGGCGGGCGCCCTGTGGTGCCCAGATGATTGCGGGTGTTCGTTATTGCCCTGGTGTCCAAAGGGCGGTACCCTAAAGTCGCCTTGGAACCTCAGCACCCCCCCAAAGGGGTAGCAAGAAGGCCCCCATCCCCAGAATCAAAACCGAGTCACGCGATAGCATTCTTACGTGACTTCGTGGTGCCTTCTCTCGGGCCCTCTTGCGGTCCTCTTGGGGGCTCCGTGGGCCCTCTCGCACGCCTCCCCCCCCCCGAAGCCCTCTCAAGGCTCCCATACACTCACGAGACCTCTCAAGCCCTCTCAAGACCCCCGAGAGGGCGGGCCCCTCGAGGAGTCAAAACCAAAGGGGCCTTGGGGGGAGGGTCCAAGAAGGCCCAGTACGCTCCCAGTGGTGCCCCAAGGAAGCGCCGAGAGAAATCAAATGAAGTCGCGCAAACAGCTCGCTAGAACGTTTCTGCGTAACTTCCTTATGACTGCCTTCGGGGCCCTCTGGGAACCTGGAGGCCTTTAGGGCCCTGCCCGGGCCCTCCGAACCCCCTTTGAGGCACCAAGACTTCCCGAAGGGCCTCCAAGAGTCTCCAAGCGAAGTCAAAAACACATCGAGCGAGAAGCTTCTCGCGTGACGTCGTTTTGGCTACTTTCGGGCCCTTTCTGTGGTCTCCTTCTGCCCTCCCGCCCCCCCACCCCCCCGCTACCCCTTTTAGGGCTGCCAAGGCCCAGAGAAGTGTCACAATCAAGGCACTCGAGGGGCATCATTCCATGCCTTCAGCTTGACCCCCCTGGGTCCTTCTTGGGACTCTCCTGGGCGCCTTGTGGAGCCGTTCGGAACTCCCCCCAAATGCACCCTAGGGACCTCCAGACGTCTCCCAGAAGCCTCAGGGCCACACGAAAAACAACAACCTCACGTCTTTCGAGAGCGTTCTGGCGTGACTTCACTGCCTCTTATCGGGGCGATCTTGGGGATTATTGGGAGCCTTCTGAGCCCTCCTGCGTGCCCTCCGAGTCCCGCCCTGTGACATCAACAGGATCCCAGGAGGGCCACAAAAGAACCTCAAGACTAGTCAAGATACAGAGGAGGTGAATAGGACGGAAACTATGGATGCGAGGAAACATGTTAGGGGAGGAAGAGGGCAGAGAGATGTGTGACAAGCTAGGTGCGCTCGCGCCGTATCTGATATCCGACCCCTCCCACCTATCCGTTCCCACTGAGCCGATGTGCTCACCCATCCTCAGACGTGTGTCATGGCGGATATGGACCCCCCAGAATGACCCCGTTGTGGTAGGCGCAATCAGAATGGGGGACCTGTGTGCGTGGGTGCAGGAAGGGGAGGTGGAGGATGAGCAAGAGCATGATGAGCCGGAAGCACTGATAGATTTGTGCGTTTCATCCTTACATCAAGGCCATCTTAATATCCTCTGCGCCGTTCCAAGTTTAACGGATGATGCCCGAAGAGAACCCCAATATGATCAGGAGGAAGACGGGGCGGAACATGAAGATTGAGGAAGAAGAGGAGGCGGAGGAAGAGGAACTTTCCAAACCCTTGGGGATCCACGTATGTGAAGAGCGTCCTCAACAACATCGTCTTCGCAAACTTTGGGTCTACAACTGTCCAATTTCGTAACATATTTCGGTCAAGCTCAGATCAAACACAACACGAACACGGTATGGACTGGCCCCTACCGACCAATCGAGAAGCAGATCCCCGAATCCTTCTTGTTTGGCCTCCGGAAACTGTTCGTCGAGCGGGGTCACGCTAAGGTAGAGACCCGCGTGGACACCAACGAGCACACTTTCAAAGGGGCAAAGGAGGTGGTGATACATGCAACGCTCTCCAACCACCCATTGCAATTGTCTTGGTACGGTGCGTGGGCGTCCTGAGCCACCGCAAAGACAGTCGCGTTTTGGAAAGCCCCATGTCCCGAGCGAAGTTCGCTGGTGAGAGTTTCGTTCGCTCAGCGAACGAGGATGAGGCAAATAAGGATAATGATGAAGGCGGGGAGAGGAGGAGGAAGAGATGGAGGAGAACGCGGGGCGCTGTCTGTTCCAAACAAGGACACGTCACCACAATATGGTTGGGGAGGGAACTGCACACCGCACACATCAAACGAGAGAGAAAGAGAGAGAGATATATATATAGAGAGAGAGAGAGATCACAACAACTTAATAGCATAGCACGAACGGCACCTAGCAGACACATCAATCACACAACATTCACACATAACCTAAACGTATGAAATGGATTAGCACGGAGAGGAACCCAACCGGCGTATGACCCTCTCTTCGAAACTTGCGCGAAGCGCAAAGGATGCCACCTGGGGCTGGCTGGCTGACTTGCTGGCTGGCTGGCTCAACGCGCATGCCGCGGAGCGTGTGAGTG